CTAAGAGCAAATGATGGAAAGAGAGATCAAGACATTGGTTGCACGGAGTATCCATAACTCAAGAAAATAAAAGAAAACAAGAGAAAACATGCGAGCATAATGATCCTAGATAATCTAACACGAGCTTTCTACACTAAATCGTCACGCTTTTAACAAAGTAGAGACCTTTATACTAGATAAACACGTATAGATTCCTAACACACGTAAGCAAGCAATAAAAATAAAGCAAAACCCTAGAAACGAGCATAAACACAAAATCAAAAGAACAAACTCGAAGTAGTAAGTCCTAAGCAAGGTACTTACTCTCCTATCGCGTGCCCGGACAAAAATAATGAATAAAAAGCTCGGAACTTGGATAAAAATAAGCCTTCCGGAATTTCGCCGGAAAAATGAGTTTTGAACCTCCAACCAAAGCATAAAAAAACAAAAGAGAGAGAAGAGAGAAAATGGAGAGGATTTCTCAACTTAAAAGTTGGGAAAATGAGGGGTGATGTTCAAAAATACAAAGCACAATGTCTATTTATAGCTACACCACAAACACACACTAGAAACACACACATTTAATGAAATTCTGAAGTTCGCGGGTCTCGAATAATGGTTCGCAGCGAGTTGGAGTGAAAAATGGTCTGCACGGGCGCTTTCGCGGGTCGCGAACACAAGTTCGCTGCGAGTGTATGGAGATGGGCTGCTGGGGCGCGCATTTCGCCGGTTGCAAAAGGAAGTTCGCAGCGAGTGTGGGGAGATGGGCTACTGGGGCACGCGCTTCGCGGGTCGCCAACGGAAACTCGCTGCGAGTGCTAGGCCTTGGAGCTGGGGAGTGCGTTTCGCGGGTCGCCAATGCTTCTTCATTGCGAGTGGGCGCCTGGGGCTGCTATGGTGCGCGGTTCGCGGCACGCGAATGGAATCTCGCTGCAAGTATGTTGAGTCCCAAGGTAGGGTATCTCTCGCTCGGATGGCTCGGATGATTCAGAATGATCTCGGAATGGCTCAGAAATGGTTCGGATTCCCAAGCTTGCAATATGGACCTACATAACACACCAAAAGAGATGAGAGAATACGCAAAAATACAAAAACACAGGACGAGAATAAAAATACTCAAAATACGATAAAATGGACCGGTTGACACTAAAACGAACCTAGAAAAACTAAACTAAAGCACATAAAACACACGAAAATAAGCACAAAAAAACATTAAACATATATCCCGCATAAAGATTCAAAACTATAAATAATGTATGCATGGAATCCAGATCTAACTCCCTATTTGGCCCTATCGCAAACCTCCAATGTACATACAACAAACCTCCCGACTAGACATCGGCAAGGATGTAACCGGAAACATTCCCACCCCAGATGCAACGGGCATAGGATCCTTTCCAGGAGACAGTAGAGCTGTTTTTCCCCCCTCCGGATACAACGGCACAGGGCGTCCCTCCCGGATACAACGGGCAGGCGACCTCTCACTGATTATGCATTCGTCAAAGGCACTATCGACGGGACACTTAGAATAGAGTTCTCACGCATACAGAAGCTATCGACAAACATTCATACGAAATAACGAGTGCGATAATTATAGATACAACGTAAATGTATCCACCTGATTTGCAGCGATAAAATCACAATACAAGTTGGAACGGTAGGATTTGAGGTCAACACCTCGGGACACCTACACGAAATCAAGATAACTCTCGATTACAAATAGTCCAACGATCACACAAACTTAGTCGAATCTGTCGACTAAGTGGCTCGTGGACAATTCTCGTGGAATTATAGAACAGTCGACTCGACTTGAACCAAATATGGGAAAAGACACATAATGGTCGACTCACAATATACTCAGCCACTTAACTTAATATTTACACTACTTATATAACATGTAAGGAGGACCTCATATATTAAAAATCATGCCCAAACTCAAGAGTTAACATTTTCATCCAATAAATCGAGCAAATTGACAATTAACTCTCATTTTCTAGTTGATCAGGTAAATGAATGAATTTTGATTTAAAATCTAAACACATAAGAGACATCACTGAGTATATCAAAATCACCAAGTTTCAGCCGTATCACTTGAACATGCGTTTTTATAAAATTGAAACAACTTTTCGGTAAAAACGAGCATGGATTTAATGACTGACCAAATGAACGAATTAAGATCTAATATTTTTATGCAAGTAACTACAACATGCTGGGGTTAAGATATAGAAATTTCAGGCATAAATACTTATCATGTGATTTATGATAATTATTGCAAGATTCAGCAAGATACAAGTTTTTAACAAAAACTCAACAAAATGAATCCAATAATTTCTGGGATTTTCACACTATCAAATACCATATCGAATAAGCATAATGACCGAGTTTCATGCATTTATATCAAGGATTCGATTTTTCATGGATTTAACAAGATTCAGCAGATTTGAACAATTAATCATTTACCCTAGAAAATGAATTCCAAAAATCATAAACATTTTACGCAATGTACAAACACGTCTGGGAGAAACATATCCAAACTCCATAATTTTTGGGAAACAATACAATTTCTCACGCATTTTACAAGTTGCAGCAATCATATAAATTTAAAAAATTCATAACTTGAAAAATATAAGTCTAGATTGCACAAGGTCAAGACCATTGTAATTAGGACACAAAAATGTTCCATATTCTAAGAGTTATCCACGAGATTAAATCAGATCTTAAGGGTTTCACTATAAACCCTATAGATCTAATTTTTTACAACACATATAATATCAAATTATATCATAATAATTCAAATAATTCATGAAATATTATAACATCAGCCATTTAAACATATAATCACATAATATACATGGAGTTTAGTAAAATACCAAACACCAAAGGGGCGAAAACGAACGACGGCTCGATCATAGAAAGGCTCGTTGATGTTCGATTCCTAAGGGCAGGGAAATCGTCTGCTTTTGCTCGACGTTGGAGGCGGCTCACACGTATGAGGAGGATGACCAGAGGTGGCTCGTGAAGCTGGTCGGGTGCGAGGAAGATGGTCGGAAGTTGCAGCCGAGACGTGGAGGTCGGAGTTGTTGGCGGCTCGCGGGTGGCGCGTGCGGTGGAGCGAGGGTCGCGGGCGACGGACCTCCGGCGTTTCGTTCGAGGGCTGGTGAGTTTTCTAGTGACAAAGAGAGAAGGGAGAGGGAGCTTTGAGAGCTGGGGCAAGAAAAAGAAATTAGCGAAAGAGAGATGAGAGGGGAGTGATGAGCGTGAAGAAGAAAAAGAGAGATGAGGGGAGGGGGTTACTTATTAGCATTATGGTAGGTTGTTAATCTCATAAAATCTAGTCAAAGGCTGAGTATGAGGGATTAGGCTGATATGGAGGGATTCAAAATTCAAAATTATAACTCCAAGATGTTTGGAATGGTAGCGGGTTGAGGGAACCGGGCGGTTCGCGCGGGCCGGCGGGTCGGCTCTCGATTCGGCTCCCACAATTTTCGAGGCTCGGTTTTAAAAAAATTTATGTTCCGTCTAGGCTCGGTTACTCGGTCAGATCGACATATAAAAATAATAATAATATCATTCGGCTCGATATTAATTTAATCCAATTAACAATTACGAGCATAAAATCAAAATAAAATAATCGAGCTCGAATAAAATAACTCCAGAAAATAAAATAAATAACAATAATAATCTCCAAATAATTCGGAACAAATGGGACGCTACAGTCAGCCTCTCCTAGTACTCCGCGGACGCAACCCAGACCGGCACACTTCACAGCCTCCCCATGCACACTCTGTAGCCACCGCACCACCGCACGAGCTTCACCTGAGGAACTAACTTTCCCAACACCAGAGAAGGTCGGAAGAGAAAAAAACCAAGGATATGCCGCCGCCCCGACCGTCGCAAGGACAACCGTGTCGTCTGCCGAAACTGCACCTCACATGGCGAAGCTTGAAGATCGGGACCACTCGGGGGAAAAGGACAAAACGCCCGCCAGTGCCGTGCTGCCAGACCTTGGGCTTGCCAGATGATTGTCGGAATTTGATGAACGAGGGCCACCGGTAGGGAGGCTAGATTACAGAAATTGGGGCTTTTTGGTTTTTGCTTTTTTAGAGGAGGAGACGCGATTTAGTTGACAGATGCTATTACTCACAAATGGCACTAACTCAATTGACGCTACAAAAATCAAGTTTTCTCACTTATAAATTGACCAATATGATATACTCCCTCCTATTTTTATTATTTGTCGTTTTGAGAAACAACACGCTAATTAAGAAATTATTTAGTACATGTTATGGGAAACGATGGAGATGGGATATGAAGAGACACTATGTATTAGATGGAAGGTTAAAAATGAAAAAATATGAACAAAATAGCCAAAACGACATTTCTTTAATCAATGGTCAATTAAGCTAGAGTGAAAAAAAAATAAAAATAGGAGGAAGTATGATTTTAGTTATTAAAACATCTCTATGACTTGGTTTCCTTCTTTCTGTTTTGTTGTTCTGTGTTTGATTGTTACTTTAGGTTCTGAGGAGTCAATGCAGTTAGCCATTGCCTTAGGCCTGTTTGTATTGTGCAGTGGGTTGTTTGGTCTAGGCCACCTAGGAGTGGTTCTCTCTAGCTCGGTTTTATGTTCTGTAATGTTCGTGTATTCGAAATTTGGTTTGTTTTGTTTCTATGAGAAGTATTCTATCGTTTGGAAAAAAAAAAANCGTCTCTACATCTTTTTATTATTGGAAAAGGGTCCAATTTGATTCGGAATTCAATTAGTAATAAATCTCTTGAACCTTTCCACTTCTCATAACTCTATAATACTAATTCAATGACTAATTTTAGTAATACCTTTTCACTCAACTAATTTTTTTAGCCATAAAAAATTCAATTGAAATGAATTGGACATCCACTTTCTTTTAACTCATTTTCTAACACTTCATAATCCTATTACACCGAAAGGAGATTCGGATCTTTTAACTAATCAACACTATCAGCCTGGGTCAATAACAAAAATCTTCATATGAAAAGCAATTTAGCCTTTGAGAAATAATAGCTCACATTTCATAGAATATAGTTTTACAGACCCTCAACATTACTTTAAAGTTTATAACATTAACGAAAACATGTGCCATAAATGATGACTCCAAAACAGATTTGCGGCGATGGGATCCCAGATTCTGCAACCTTACACAAACATTGTGTCTGTAACCATATATTGCACTATCGCACCAAAAAAAAAAAAGTTGGACAAAGAAAAACACTATCAAAGACAACAATGAATAAGCACCAAAGTTCTAATAAACGGTAAAACCAAATTTTATGGCACCACAGCCACAGGACGTTTACGAACAACATATGCATTTCGAAGATCTTCATAGGCACATCTGAAGTAGTCGAGCGAGAAACAAAGCTGTCTTATAGCTTCCCTTTTTTCCTCAGCCATATCAGATATCACAACCTCCTGCATGTGGACCTCTTTCTCCAACTCATCAGACCTCACCTTTAGTTCATCCATTAGCTTCTTTGCACTATCAGCCCCCGAACTAAGCTGTTTGTTCTCAAACTCTACTCTTTGCAGATTGTGTTCAAGATTTCCAATATGATCCTCTCGACAATGTAGTTCAGCAACAAGTGTCTGTAGCTTAGCATTGAGTCCGTCTTTCTCGGCCTTTAGAGTGTCGTATTTTAGTTTCAGTCCATCAAGATTTTCATTCAAAGCATCAGCAAGTGCAGTTTTCTTGGATAGCTCGATTTTTGCATCCTCGATATTATCTTGCCAAATGATTCTTGAAGCATTTTTCTCTTTTTCCATTTCAATTTTCCCATCTTGGAGTTTCTTGATCTCATCATCTAATAGTTCACACTGCAAACGAAGCTCTTTATTTTCTGCCTCAAGAAAATTCAAACGTTCAGACAATTTAGAAATAGATGCTTCCAGCTGCCACTTTTCCAAAGCGAAATTTCCTAAAGCAATTTCGAGCTCCGCATTAAGTTCCTGTATCCTAACATCGCGATCCGACAACTCAGTAGTGTACTTTTCTACACTCTCTTGCAATTCATAAACTTTCTTTTTCTCAAACTCAAGCTCACCTTCTAATTCAACTATTTTCATTTGCAGCAGCAAAGACCTTCCATTCTCCTTCTCGGTCTCAGCCTCATGCAGCTTAATTTGACTCTTGGCTGCCAGAAGCTCAACTTCTAGACCACTCAATTTCACCATGACCTTCTCATTATTCTCTAGTTCCCTCTTCAATTTAGCAATTTCCTCTTCTGCAGACAACAATTTCTCATTTGAAATACTTAGTTGTTTTTCAAAGTCAGTTCTCAAACTCACTACTTCATGCTCCAGCATCTTCTGAGTACGAACCGAACTCGAACGCTCGTTAGGTGATGCATAATAAGTCTCCGAATCAGAATCTGATGACAGTGAGGATTGGGATCCTTCGTTTGGAGTTACATCCGAAATTCCTCCGCCCGAACTTAGAGATAAATCAGAAGCAACTAGTTGGCCATCGAGATTGTTCATCCTCAGTTTATTCATAGGAGTAAGGAATGGAGGGGTGAGTTGAGGGTTGAAAGTTTTTTTCTCGTTACTCTTGGCTGACTTGCTTTGGCTACTCAGTTCTCCCGTTAGCTTGTTGTAGTGATCAGCAAGCAAGTGGTGGCGGTGTGAGATTTCCTTAATATGGGCAATTAACTCTGGCAGCTTAGTAGGATAATTGCTATTATTATCACCATTTTCCATCTGAGAACCTTTATCATTTTCGATCAACTGCAGCATTTCTTTTACACTCTGATCAATACCTGCACTATCGAGATTTTTAGTATCTCTTCTGTACCAAGCATAGGAGGTTCCCTTTTAGTTAACAAAAATTGACAAAATGGTAATAATGCTCTATTGCATTTGGACCGAGTGATTGGGGATTCGGAGGAGAATATTTCAGAAAAAAAAAAAAAGAAAAAAAATCTTTTTTAAGGTCTAGAATCAATGACAAAAGAAATCCTGAAATTTTGCAGTCCATCAGTTTGGATGGAGCTTTAGCACTTGATTGGATTTACACAAGGCTAATTTGCCAATAATATTTTAGGGTTAAAAATACAAAACCCACAACCTTAAAGAATTACAAATATCTACTCGTATTTTATAATATGTTATAGATAGCACCAATAAAATAAGAGGGTGTTGTTAAGTTAATACATATGCAATGGGGTCTTTGTTGGTATATGTAGTCTAACAAAACAAAAGGATTTATATTTTGATAATCAGGTGAAAACTCCGCATTCTTTTCTTAGACCCTTCAACAAAATTGCAAAGTTGCAATATTCAGTTACCATATAGCAGTAGTAAGAGGAAACACCAACAGTTGTTGTAAACACACACACACACACACAGAGAGAGAGAGAGAGAGAGATTCTTACTCTTGATATTCTCCACAAGCCATTCAGAACTATCCAGACAAATTTGACCATTCCAGCATGATGCATCAAGCTTCCTCACCTCATTCTCCATCTTGATTTCCCTCTCTGCAATCAAGAGAAATATGGTTCGCTCCAATAAATATCCAAATGCCAATATGACTACAAATACAAGTCTTTAGCTGGATCCACTTCCAACACTTTTGAAGTGGTCATAATCACTGTTTCAAGCTTGTTTACAAGCTGAAGACTGTTCTATTCATTGTCCCTCTTCAATTCCACGCCAATTAGCAGCTCATTGACCAAACCTAGTCATTAACCTTCGAAATTTGCAGATCCACAGAATTAAGCTAGTATGAAACGAACTATAGAAATTGTGAAGTATCCACAATCGGAAACCAGATTCCCAACATCACAATACGAACAAACTTCCATTAGGTTCGTAAAGCTCAATTTCAGAAACTTCCTTTTTTTCAGAGAAATATACCGACACCGCAATGGCGGAAAATCAACACTAGAATATAGTTTAAACACGCACACACACACACAATGAAAAACAGAGTGGCTCTGAAATTACCTTTAAATGAAGAGGAGATTGTTGACAGATGCTTAAGGGAAGAGCGTGCACACACACACCGTAGCGAAAATGGAGACTGAGAATTGTTGAG